GGGCCTTCTCAGCAGGCTCGGAAGGCCTCGGGCCTTCGAGACAGTTTCTGCGCCTTCCCCGCAGACACAGAAAACTTCTCGGAGGGCACGAGGGCTTCTGCGTTCTGAGAGGTCCTCCTCCTTCTCACTTCACCCCCTCCCCCGCCGCCGATTTGAGGTCCCTGGACCTCCCACGTATTGAAACACCAAGACGGAGCTGTTTCGCAGGTTTCGGCGTCGGGTTTTTTCGCCGGGCCGCGGGACCATCAAAAACCATCCGGACGGGACGAAAAACCGGTCCCCAGGAAGTGGCTCAGAGCTCTAGGAACCTCGTCGTAACAAAAGCCAAGATCTCGGAGGTCTGAGTCAGAAGAGGGACAGATACCGACACCGCTAATTACCCTTACCCTGACATATCTGGGCGTTGCATTTTTTGGTTACACTTGACGTTTTTTGGGCGCCAGTCCGCCTTGACTCAAGGGTGTAAAAACCGCCCCTACAGTGGTTTACGAGGGCTGACAGGGTGATCCCTGCACATCTCGCGTGTCGCGCGGCGTCCTGGCGGCTCTCTGGCCTTTGGGAGCTCCCGGGAGGTTCACAGACCACGCACTCGTAACCCAGGGTAGGGGCGTTTTTGCATACCTCAATTGACTCGCTGCACAAAGACTGGGTCTAAGGCTCCAGTTGTGATTTTCTACGATGTTGCAAGTTTTCCAGGGTGCCTCGTCGCCACGACCGGGTTCGCCTCGGAGTCCTGGTGGTTAGGGCGCGTCCTTGGAGGGGACCAGGGCGTCGCGGCAGTGGCACCTCCCCGTCGAACTTCCCTCCCCGAGGGGTAGATGATCCTCAGAACGTGTGGTAACCCAATGTGTGTGTGTGTGTGTGTGTGTGTGTGTGAATGCAGCTCAGTGCCAGCGCTGTTCTTCCACCTCGGCGCTCCCCCCGCCGCAGTCGGCAGCCCTGAGTGGCCCGGCTTCCTCTCCCCCTGTCGCGCCAGGGCTCCTCCTCTTCCTTCCGTGCATTGCGGCCTTAATTTGCATACCGCGTGTCGCGTGTCTCCTGTTGCCATTCCGCCGGAGCAGTCGACCTCTGCCCAGCCGCCGACGCAAAAGTGTGTGTGTGTGTGTGTGTGAGAGCGGCTTCAGAGGGCTCGGCCTTTAGACGCGCGTGCGCGCCCAGTTCTCTGACCTTTCGCCGCCCTGTCGCTGCGCGCGGGGCCGCGACGCCAAAGTGTGTGTGTGTGTTTGTCCCTAAGCGGTGTACCAGGACGTCCAGGAGAAAGGAGAGGTCGCCAAAGGTCAAGGGCGCGGGGAGGACCAGGCACGCAGCTCCGGGTACAACGACAACTGGACCGGAAAGCGCCCTAGGCGCTGACCAGCCTGCAACCAGGCCTCCCTTCACTGACACAACACGCCGCGACCGCCCTCCTACGCTTCCAGCAACGTGCGGCAAGGTCCTGGTCCTACCCACTGCTGGCCACGCCCACCACTTGTTCCCCCTTCCCCCTCCCTCATCACACGGCTTGGGGCCGTGTGTCCCCCTGCTCGCGCGCCGCGACCGCCATGCTACGCTCCCAACAACCTGCGGAAGGTCCTGGTCCTACCCACCGCTGGCCACGCCCACCACCTGTTCCCCCCTCCCCCTCCCTCTTCACCTGACTTGGGACCGTGTGTCCTCCTGTTCCCCCCTACCCTGTTCCCCCACAGCAACTTGAGACGAGCACGTTTCACGCGCAGCGTCTGCTTGCTGGTCCACCTGGTCCCCGACTGTACCTGCTCCCCCCTCCCCCTTCACCTGTCTTTAACGTGTTCTGGGACCGTGTGTCCTACCTGTACCCGTTGGGGGCCCAGTTCCCCGACGTGAGCACCTACGGTGCGGGCTGGCACGTTGACGGCTGGCGGTGTGCGCCGGCTTTTCTCCTTTATGTTCGCTTCTTCCCCCCCCGCTCGCTTCTCCCCTCCCATGGCGGCAGCGCCCGGCACTGCGCGGCTTCGGCCCGGTGCCGGGCGCTGCACCTTGCCGCCTCGGCGGCCCCGCTCGCCATGGCGCTGCGCGGCTCAGGCCCGGCCCTCGTCAATGCGGATGTCAGCGCATCGTGTGTGGCTTCTGCCCGTCTTCACGCGCTGGCGGGGCAGGGCAGGTTTTCTCCCTGCAGTCCACCGACATCTTGTCGGTCATGAAGGGCCCCCTCGTCTGAGGCCGCTCCTCAAGCAAGCTGCTACCTGGTCGTGGATTGGACTACCACCTTGGGCCTCTTCCGCATCACCCTGTGGCATGACGTTGCACATCGCCTTCGTGGTTCTCCTCTTCTCCCTGGGCTTCGACCTGGTCATGTGGCACGTCCCCCTTTGCAGCGCTTGAGGCTGGTGTTCGCGATGCGCCGTCGACGGCAACGCCTTCTCCTTCACCCTCCGGGACTTTGCCCCCGGTACCAGTCCGCGGCGCACCTGCTCCTGCACATCCATTTCGGCACCGCCTGCACCCCTGGGCTTCGCCCGCTCCGGCCGCCTGAGGCCCCGCCTTCCTGTGCCCTGTCTCCCTAAGTAAAGCTGTGCGTAGCCCGCCTAGCTTCTAGCGGAAGGCGTTCGCTCTCGCCCCGCAGATCAAAAAGTGCCCCTAAGCGGTCTCTGAGGGCTCGGGCGCTTCTAGACGCGCTCGCGCGCGATTGCTGCTCCACGATTTTCTCCGTCTTGTTGCTGCGCGGAGGGCCGCGACGCCCAAAAGTATATAAACATATACATGTATCGGCGCATCGGGCTCGGGGGCCGAGGGCCGGAACCTCGACGACAAATGTGGGGGCCAGGGCCAGGGCCCGCCCCTGGGAGGCTTAAAATCGACCCAGGGAGCCTTCGGACAGCAATCGCGGCGGCCCCAGCCGATCTCGAGACATCCCCGAGACGCCGTCCAGGGGTCCTCGGCGACGCACGATGCGTTTTAAACTGCTCAAGATGCCACCAGGAGGCCCTAAGATGCCCCCCGGGAAGCCCCCAAGAACCCCCCAAGAGGCCAGCAAGAGGCCCCAAGAGGCCCCCAATATGTCCAAAAGAGGCTCCAAGAGACCCCAAGACAGCACCCAAAAGGCTTTAGAACTCTTTCGAAGAGGCCCCCGAAGATATGCCAAAAAGGTCCCATGACGAATTCAAGAAGCAATCCAGGATGCTCTGCGGAGGCCCCAAGAAGCTAGCTAGCTAGAACTTGAACGCGCGCGCGAAGCGCGCGCGATGGTTCTAGTATGTGTGTGTGTGTGTGCGTGTGTGTGTGTGTGTGTGTGAGAGTGTGTGTGTGTGCTTCCTCCTCCCTCCTGCCGTCGCCGGGCGCCTCCCCCCTCACCCCTCTTGCAAGGCGGTTTAATTTGCGTTCAAGCATCTTCCAACGCCTCCCAGCCAGCGCAGTCACTCTGCCTAGCTGCCGACGCAAAACTTGTATGTGTGTGTACCCCGCTCGATTCCACCGATCGCCTATATCACATAACGTGTGCCTGCCTTCGATGTGCCGCTTGCGTCGTATCGAATGGCGTCGGCGGACAAACACACGTCGGCGCTAACACACTCCTATATTCTCGACGTCATGATTTTCCAAACTATCCTGAGGTGTTGGGTCCTCGTTTTGACGAGACGGTCCCCGCGTTCACTCCTCCTTCCCTTGCCCTGGCCCTTCTCCCTTTTCCATCATCATCGTCATCGTCACCACCCGTTCCAGCACACCTCTCACACGATTCGTGGCCCCATAGGGAGCTCCACAGAAGGGCCTTACGGCCGGTGCCGCCGACCCTGCATGGCGCTGACAACCACGACCGCAACGGCGAAGCTCTCGGGGGCCTCCTGGGGGTAGTTTGGGGACCTCTTGGGAAGCTCTTGGGGGCCGCTTGGGAGCCTCGTGGGGGCCTCTTGGGGCTTCCTGTGGCCCTTCCCTTTGGGAGGCCTCTCCGTATATTTTCTGCCCCCCAAGCCCGGCGTTGGCCGTCTCGGCCCCCATGGGCCGGCTGCTCTCTCGGCCCTGCCCTCGCCCCATCCCCTGGCGACCCCGCCTGGCCGTGCTCTGGCCCCTTCGGCTCCTCCCCTCCCTTAAATCGGGCCAGCCCCTCTACAGGGTCGATATTCAAAAATAGTCAAAAAAGTAGTCAGGGGACGATTTTTCGACATTTTTTGTTTCCTCCTACCTAGGCTCTGCCTAGAAGGGTTCTTACTATGTTGGCTTAAAGGGGCCGGGCAGTGTAACCCGCCCCGGGCGGTTCCCCCGGTCCCCTGGGAGCCAAGCAAAAGCAACAGCAAAGGTAAAAGCAAACGCGCGGTTCCCCAGTTGCGCTCCCTGGGTGCCAAGCAAAAGCAAAAGTAAAGGCAGAAGTGAAGGCAAACGCGAAGGCAAAGCAAAAACATAGCATAGCATAGCATAGCGCAGCATATCATAGCGCAGCATAGCATAGCATAGCATAGCCTAGCCTAGCCTAGCCCAGCATAGCATTGCGCAGCATAGCATATCATAGCATAGCATAGCATAGCATATCATAACATAGCAGAGCATCATAACATATCATATCATATCATAACATAGCATAGCATAGCGCAGCACAGCATCCACTAATGTTGCTTTCCTAGAGGCTCCAACTCCTAGGTAGGGTCGCACGTTTTTTGTTTGTTTGTTTTTTTGTTGTTGTTTTTTGTGTGTTTTTTGTTTCTTTTAATATTTCTAACTTTTCGCCGAAATCCCACTGTAGGGGACATGCCCGACCTATCCCTTCCCCCTGGCCAGCTTCGGGCTGCCCATGCACCAGCACCATCGTCCCAGAGAGCCGTCGCTCCCCAGAAGTTGGAGCGGCGGGTTTGTGGCCGTGTTCGGCCTCCAGGGGCTTAACACCATGCCCTGGGGAAGTGGTCCTGGCCCTGGGGGCCCACGCATCGAACATTTGGAGCAGCCGGATGTCTGGGAGCGTTGACCCGCTGGTGTGGCCTCGCTTTTGCACCGTTTCGCCCGCGGATCCCCCCCCCTTCCAGTCCTTTGGTAGCAACTTATGGGAGCCTCGTGTACCCTCGTAATTCTGTCGTTGCCGTCGATTAGCGTCTGCGAGTCGATGAGGTAGCACCGATCTAGAGTCGGCTAGCGCCGATTGGCGTCGATTTGGCGTCGATGCGCGTCGATTTGTCGTCGACTCGCAAGAGCCGACAAGATGGTATGGGAGGCTCCCATGAGTTGCCACCGAACCATCTCCCCCCCCAGCCCCCCAGTCCCCAGTCCCCCGCCCCCGAGCCATCTCCCGCCCCCGCCCCCGAGCCATCAGTTCCATCCTCGCAAGAGCCGACAGTCCCCCGCCCCCGAGCCATCTCCCCCCCAGGCCTGTGGCTCCGACTCCCGGGCCGTGCTCGCCCCCCGCCCCCCCCCCGCCCCCCCGCCCCACCCCCCCCCGCCAGCCCGCCCTCCCGGCCCCCAGCCCGCCAGCCCTCCCAGCGGTCCCGCCCTCCCGCCCTCCCGCCCGCCCGCCCGCCCTCCGAACCCCCTCTCGAAGAGGAAAAGCGCCACAAACAGAAGCTTTTGGCGCTCCGCGCAGATTTCTTGTATCCGCGCTGGGCCTCCCCGGCGGCGCCTCTGGCGCCGCCCCTGCCGCGCTCCGCGCGTCAGGGAGGGGGGTCCAGGCCCGATCCAAGAAGTCCGCGCGGGGCGCCAAAAGTTTTGTTTTCTTCCTCCACTCTCCCCAGCCTGTTCTTCCGTCCGTGGACCGTGCCCGTCCGCTGCATCTCCGCGTGCGCTGGAAGTCTGACCACGCGCCCTGATCTGCAGCTCGAGCACGCGCTGCTCCGGTGTGCACGTGCGGGTGGCCTGAGTGCTCCACAAGTTCGCCCTTGCAGCGGATCGGCATCGCACTGCATCCTCAGTGCGCCTCGCGAGAAGCATGGTCGCTGCGATGTCTGCTTCCCCCTCTCCCCCATCGTCGGTTGTTACATATTTGCGCGTAACGATTTGGTCAGCGTCATAGCTGATTCTCCAGAGTGGCCATCATGCCATCGGGCCAAGGTGTACGACAGTTGCACATAATGTTAGGGCTCTCATGCCTTCTGATTAGCAAGAATGATGAACGATTTCTCTCTTGCTGCTGCACCTCCGCATGTGTGGATTGTTTAGCACTTGTTTAGATAGAAAGTTGCCCCCTACGTGTGCCAGATGTGGTACGTATGCGCTCGCGGGTGGCAGGGTGATGATTGCGCCTGTCCTCCTCCTCTCCAGCATTGGTCCGACCAGGATTGGTGAATGCGTACGGCAGGTTTGCGTCGTGTCGACCAGCGGCGACCCTGCCGCTGGCGTTAAACGTTGAATTCCGCCGGCGATCCAGAATCGGTCGATGTTGAACGATCTGACGTTTCGGAAGCGGCCGATCGTTCAAGGTTGAACGAACGACCCCTGCGGTGTCCAAAAACAAGCGCTAAAGTTGGCACCACACGAACCTGCCGTATAGATCGCTTCGGGGTACCTCCGGCCCCTCCGTTGGTCTTCCCCCAGCGTTCCTCCTGCACTTGCGGGCAGGTGAGGCCCCAGAGGGGCTTCGTTCCTCATCCGAGGTTCCTCGTCTCGAAGAAGAGCCAGCATAAGCATGACCTTTCGGAGGTTCGCGCGGACCTCCGAGATGTTGTTCCTGGTTAGTGTTTTCCCTTATTGCTGCGATCCTTTGACCGTGTAGCTGGCGCCCCGCCAGGTCGTTCGCGTCCCCAGAGTTCCGCAGGCTCTGCCAGGAGATCACCGAGTGCGGAGAGCTGTCCGACCGCCTGGATCTCTCCGCGCAGATTTACCCCAGAGGGTCACACCTCTTGTGCCACGATGACGTGATCGGGACGCGGAAGATCTCCTTCATATCCATGTGCCCGCGGCAGACGCCGCCAGCGTGCCAGCGCGGCAGCACACACCTGTCCTTGTTCTCAGCCTCGTTCTCTTCCTCCTCCTCGTTCCTCCCTCATGTTCTTCCTTCTCCTTCTTTTTCTCCTCCTCCTCCCCCCCCTCCTCTCGCTTCAAGGCATCCCTGAGGATTCCCGAGGGCCTCTTTGAGGCCTCTTTGAGCCCCTCTCTTGGGCCCCCCTCTTGGGGTCCCCTCTTGGGGACCTCCTGGGGCCTCCTGGGCGCCTGTCGGGGGCCCGTCGGGGGGCTCGATATTGCGTTGGGCCCGATTGTTTCTTTGAGGTCTCACCGAGAGGCTCGTTCTGGGTGGCTTTTTGGGCCGTCTTGGATCTCGCCGAGACAGTGTTTGGGCGGTTGTCGTGCAGTCTTGCGGCCGTGTCGAGCCCCTCTTGGGGCCATTTCGAGTTGTCCTGGTGGCTTTCTGAAGCTCCACAAGGGTCGAGCCCCTCTTGGGGCCATTTCGGGTCGTCCTAGTGGCTTTCTGAAGCTTCCCAAGGGCGATGTGAAGCCGAACCACCTCGGAAGCGAAAAACAGAGACCATCTCTCGTGGATAGTTTTTGCTCTCCTCGGGCCTCACAGGAGGCCTTTTTTGATGTCTCTTCGGCTTAATGGAACCTCATGGGACATGTGTGGGGCACACCACGCATTGCTCGGAATATGCTTGCGATTAGATGTAATGGGACTCTTGGGAGCACGTCTTTCTCCAGCACGTGCAGTTAGATAGCCCTGGCCCCTCGGGCTGCCCCTAAAGGGGCCAGCTGGCCGGCTGGCTGACGGACTCGGCGCGCTTTGATCCGCTCCGCTCGGGACACTCTTGGGAAATGTTGGAGCCTCTGGGGGACTTCTGGACCGTTCCCAGAGATCCGACGCTCCAAAAATGGGAGCGGGCGGGTTTTGGTGGTTTTTGGCCTCCAGAGACCCTCGCCAGGCCTCGGGACCGTCCAAAAAACGACTCAGGATGAGGAACCAACCTAGGGAAGTGGCCCAGACCTCCAGGGCCCATGCATTGAAGAAATTCGAGCGGCCGGATGTCTGGGTCTTAGGCTGGTCTTCGGGCACATTGCAACCGCTTCAGAGCGATATTGGGCCATCCTGAGATCATCTAGAGGCCGACGTGACGACGGAGAGCAAAACGGGGGGCGGTGATTTGGGTACGCGTGCGGCGAGGGGCTGTGATGCCCCCGGAAAATTGGGAGGGGGAACAGATATCAATTGCACGCTGCCAGTGGGGGCCGGTCAGCGTGTTGCTGCCTCGCTTTCCGAAGGCGTGGTGCTTCTTCAGCAGTGCCCCCTGATGGGCCCCCACAGCGGCGTGTCACTGATACCCTCTTCCAGATATTCGATGTCACTGATTTTTCCCCATGGAGCAGTGCTTGCACTTAGAATTTTTTCCTTATGTCGCTAAGGCACTTTGGCTCAAGTCCCTTGGCACAAGGCTGGCTTGTTTCTAGGAGGAAACCTGGTTCCTCAAGACGTCCCTTTCTTTTTCACACCCGTGTCCGGGCGCAGTCTATCTACAGTTTGCTCTTCCCTAACACCACCCTTGTGGGCTGCGATGTCTTCTTCAGGTGGTCGCATGCCAGGTACCCCTGTGCGACAGCTGTTCACTGCAGAGACGCACAACATCGCTTCACCGTCCTCGTCACCAACGTCAGCTCCTAAAGCTAAAACTGCGCGCGTCAGCAGCCCGCTGAACGAGATGAAATGGTCTGGACGTGGAAGCCCCAACACCGGCAGGATCATCTCGAGCTGCAGCAGATTCGCATCAACTTCCGGTTGACGGGGCAGATGCGCAAGTACGTGCACAGCAGCTTCAATTCCAAATGAGCCTCATGGCAGCGTCGGATGTGGGATGTACTGCGGCCACCTTCGAGGCCATTCTCAACAGGCACTCGGACCCGATCAAAAGCGACATCGGAGCGATCGAGCAACACGGTGTCTAGCAGGACGACCTGCGGAAGGCGGTGGACCCTTTGCGCAAAGACTCCAGGGAGTTGCAATATATGTGAACAATGACATTGAAGACTTGCAAATACGTGTTACTAACAAGGAGAACGCTATAGAAGACATGCGGAAAGAGATGGCAAGCATGGCAACCACACCGAGATCATATGCTGGAGCATCTCAATCCGCGTTCCCCGATTCAGCTGCGAACTCCGCTAATGACAAGAGATCTATTACCGCCGTGGTGGGCAAACGGTTTTGCCTCCTTCGATGACGCCTCGAATTGGGTTCAGGCGGTTGTTGCAAAGATGGGGTTGCCATCATGCACGAATATCTACGTTGAAGGCGATTTCCAGGACGTCATCTTCTGCGAGTTTGGCAACGCAGAGGACCGGGACACAGCTGTCGCGCAGGTCCGCAGCGCCAGCCTGAAGACGAACGGGTACACAGTTTGGTGCACTCCTGACCGCCCGCCGCTTGACCGAGCAGCCAGGAACTTGTGTTTTGGATTTACGTTTTCTTGAAACAACTCCATGAATATGGAATGGGGCATGCGAGTCGCCGACCAGAACCCGTGCGCGGTTGAGGTGGGCGGAGAGCGCGCCCTTGCAGTGACCATCGACGGAAATACGATTAGGAGGGAGTTGGGCGAAGACTGGGGTACGTGGGCAGAGATGCACGACCACCCAGAGTTCAAGAAGTTGTTGGATTCATGTGATGGAATAGTGCAGCGCGCCACTAAATGGATGAAGCGAGGAGCCAAAGGAGGAAGCAAAGGAGCACCCACTAGCGCCGCAAAGTTGGAAACGCGGCAGGAGATGACTCGCAGCAGCGCCAAACCCGATCCATCCGACTGGACCGTCTCAGCTGAGACCTTCTCTTCATTGCAGACTTTTGATCGTACATTCGGTTGGGGTGGCGCGACGGATGAGGTCAACATTTCCTCTGATGCCGCCTCTTCGCCTTCCTGCCCGCGCGGGGTCAGCCAAGCATGCCTCCCTGGCAAGGGCAAAGTAACGGACGCCGGGCGTGTTGCCACATATACAGCCTCGAGTATGGAAGTTTGTCGACCTCAGCCCGATGATGCAGAAGACTATACAAGTACGCGTACATATAGACAATATAACCGCCCTGTTGGTAGTACGAGTTTGGGCAAATATACCTTCGTGCAGCCATCGGCGGAAATCTTCCCGCTTTCGGGGATATCTACATCGCCGTGCTCACCGCCAGTTGTTCCCATGTAGCCGAGAATGGGCAAAGCTACCGCTGCCGGTCAATGTTGCGCAGGCGTTGGGTTCTCCGATGTATCGCATTCTTCTTCGATTTCCCTTTCCTCCTCAACGTGGCACCGACGTCGTCGACTCTGCGCGCCGGGTCGCGCCCAACGTGTGGCGACTTGGAACGTCGAGGGCTTGCGCGGCGACTCGTTGGTCAAGCTAGAAGAGCTCCTGCGCGCGATGCGCAACAAAAACATTGAGTTTTTATGTGTTCAGGAGACGCATTTGCCTGTTGCAGTAAGCATAGTCATACGTTGTTCTCTGGCAGCTTTGATGTGCAAGACCGCGCGCGCGCTGGGGTCGGTTTCTTGGTGGGGCCTTTCAGCGGTGAATTCTGCGATCGCTTTCAAAGCGCGTGGCGACCGGATCGCCGCGCTGTGCGTCAAGATCTCCGGAGGGGTGCTAACGTGCTAACGTTCATCAGTGCGTGCGCGCCGCGCTCCGGGCTCGAGTGAAAAGTGCGGCGAGATTTTCACGCGGAACTGCAACCTACAATCCGAGCTACAATCGCGCAAAGTGCCGCATGTATCCTCGGCGTTTTCGACGCGCAGCTTCTGCGAGTCGGACCGGGGGGGGGGGGCAGTGCTATCGGGCAGCGCGTGTTCAATATTCAACCAGGGGATGTTGCTAGCGACCCTGCCAGACATCGGGGGCGCGCGATATTAAACGGGCAGATGCTGGTGGAAACATGTAGTTCGTGCGACTTGGTTGTGCGTTTTCCGATCGCCCAGACTGCGTGGAGATCGCGTGCCGGAACATTGGGGTCAACCCAATGGGCCCCGACATCTCTACAGCAAGGTTTTCGCATGTCGATCATGTAGTGTGCCACCGCGGCGTGTTGTCTACGATTCAAGGTTGTTGGATTGCGCTGGGAGGTCCTTGAGCGCCCGTCATTTCCTGACAGTGGCAACAATCAGCATCGAGTTCGAGAGGCAAGGCTGGCGCTGAGTCGGCAAGACCTCCCTGAAGGACCAGGGGGTTCAGGCGAAATGCATCGGATAATTGATTTAAGCTGCGATGGGGAAGCCTTGTGCAGGGGACTTGGACACCGCGGCCGAGAATTTACAGCGTGCCGTCTCCTGTGCTGCTCCCGCGTTGCCGGCCAGAGATATTCGAGCCAGACGGCCCTGGGCCAGCCGTGGAACATTGGATGTGGTTCAGGAGCGGTCGCCTTACCGCCGGCGCGGAGACGACGACTACGCAAAGAGATGCGGAAATCTGGGAATCAAGACCAGGAGACATGGCTCAATTATCTTGCGGCGGGTGGTGATTGGGGCGCAGCGGGATATTTATGGAATCCGTCAAGAGTGCAGCGCGCAAGCATACGGCGCTCAGAGGGCGCTGTATCAGACACTTCTGAAAAACCGGCTGTCTTGGCGCATTATTTTGAATCGTCGCAATGGGAATGCAAGTTTTCCGATCACCGCCCAGACAACCGAGCGCAATTTGGCGACAAACTTCCGGGCGACATGGGGGCATTCACCTTGAACGAGTTCCAGAACGTGATCCGCAAGCTGACGGAGGGCAAGGCAGCTGGACCTGACGACATTCATCCTGATTTTTTGTAAGGTTTTGGCTTCCGACGAAGCGGCCAGCGACGTGCTCTTCAAGATTCGTCAAGAATGCTGGGCGCAAACAGCAATCCCTGAATCTTGGGAGAGAGCAAACGTTGAACTGGTTTTCAAAAGGGATTACGCCGCTTTGCCAGAGAACTACAGAGCGATATCGCTATTGCCCGTGGGGCGCAAGATGCCGGCATCAATGCTGCGCAGTCGTTTGGTTCAAGGAGGTGCAGAAACACGAATAAGAGACTCGCAATTTGGGTTCTGGCCGCGCCGTGGCGCAGGCGACGCTCTCATGCTAACGTGCCGGATGATCGATGCGGCCCACTTGCGCGTCAATGGTGGTCTGTTTTTAATTTTGTTGGATTGGGCGAAAGCCTTCGATATATTTAAACCAGACTGTATGTGCGATGCCCTCGAACGTTTCGGCCTGCCTAGTGGTGTGGTGGAATTGGTGCGCGCGATCTACTCCGCAATATTTTTCACAATCGAAGATCGTGCAGACCGCTCTTCTGAACGACGACAACGCGCCGGGATCGCCCAGGGCTGCCCGCTCTCGCCGTACTTGTTCATCATCGTACAAACTGTAATGTTGCGCGATTTGTATGGCGCTCTTGATCCTACTCCCAGAGCCTGATTTTGTGATTACACGTGATATTCTGTACGTTGATGATGCATTGTTGGTGTCTCATCATTGTTTCAACCTGCAGCAAATGCTGGCAGCAATAGTGGAGGAAGGTCGGAAGTATGGCCTGGAACTTACTTGTGAAAAGACCATGCACATGCAAATCTCCACAGACCGGGTAATGACATCACGAAGTGGTGAGCACATAAAGGCAGTGAGGGACGCTATGTATTCGGGCGGTCTTATTTCGTGCGATGGGAAAGTGACAACTGAACTAAGCAGCCGACGTGGGGAAGCGAACCGTATCTTCAAGCAGTTGCATCGGACATGGAGCCAGACTTGAATTTGGGAGAAACGGAAATCAATATTTTTGAAAGTTGTGTCCTGAACAAATTCCTGTACTCTTTAGATTCCGTTTGGCTTCTGAAGGCTGACCGTGCGCGTTTAGACGCCTTCCGTTGCGCATGCTTACGTCGTTTGCTGGAAATTCGTCCGTCCTTGTCTTCACGGGTTAGCAATGCAGTGGTGCTTCAAAACGCATCCGCTCAACCCCTGTCGAATATCTTGCTGGCCAGGCAAGTTGCCTTGTACGGTGGAATTACGAATTCTAGACGCTTCGCGTATCCCCACCAGCCCGTCCAGAAACGACGCCCAGGCGAGTAAAGGGTCGTCCTGAGGGGCTTTTCGGCGTCTTGGGTGCCTCGGGGGAGCCTCTGTGGGCCGTTCGGGATCCTCTTTGGGGCCTCCTGGGGGCCTCTTGGGGCCTCTTGGGGCCATCTTGGGGCCTCCTGGGGGTCTCTTGGGGGCCTCCTGGGGGCCTCTTGGGGGGCCTCTTGGGGCCATTTTGGGGCCATCCTGCGGCCTCTTGGGGCATCCTGGGGGCCCCTTGCGGCCATCGTGGAGGAAATCGATCAAAGAAGAGGGGAGCCTCAATTAGCGTTGCCCCCTGAGAAGGCCAACGTGGGGCCAAAACCATAGTAACATCAATGTTTTTGGCTTCCTCGCCGAGGCCGTTTTGGACGCTCTGACCGCTCCCCGCCCCTCCTGTCCAGGTCAGTGGGGAGGGGTAAACCCCTCCCCGAAGGGGAAGAGGGAGGGGTGGAAGAGGAAACTCGTTAAACCACCGACGCCCAGAGGGCTGGTGGGATTCGGGATGCGGCGCTTGTCAAAGCCGCTGTCGGTAATGATGGTGGAACCCCCAAGAGATGGGCTGGGCGCCGAAAGAGGGGCCGCCCCCGCCAGCAGTGGGCGAGTCAGGTATTCAAGTTGTCTCAGCATGTAGGCAACGGTGCCTTTTCCCCTCCGCCCCCCCGTTTCCTCCTCTCCCTCCGTTCTGTATTCCAATGTCGTGATGCGCTTTGTTTTTCTGCGTCGCAGTCGTGATGCGCTCGGTTGTTCCGCGTCGCAGTCGGGAGGCATTCCGCGTTTGCTTCACAGTCGAGTCTGTGCGTGCGCGCAGCCGCTCTGTAATGTCTTTCCAGTCATACTTTTCTGAAGAGGTGCCAATCGCGCACTCTTCTGCCCACGCGCCACTCCGGCTGCTCGGCTCAGTGGTGGTGGTGGTGGTGGCGCTAAGGAATTGGATCGGTCCAGCGATCGCTTTGGGCGCTGGGTGGGTCAGGCGATGGTTTGCCACGGCCTCATGGCCGCCCCGTGCGCCAGGTGAAATCGGCGAGGTTTCGCCACGTTGCCACCTCGTGGCCACCTCGTGGCCGCCTCGTGCGCCAGATGGAAGCGGCGAGGTTTCGCCACGTTGCCGCCCGTGGCCGCCTCGTGGCCGCCAGCAGCCGATCAACTGGCAAGTAGCGAGGGTTCGGGTGACGCAGAAACAGCCCCCCAGGCACCCCCACGCAGCCCCCGCTGGCCTCGGAGCAGCCCCGGGCGGTCTCAACACCCCGGCGCTGCCTCCGGCGGCGCCCCTTTGGCGCTCCGCTCCCCAGGGTTGAGTTGTTGAGAGTGCTCTGGGCTGTTCGGGTGGCCTGTCGAGGCCAGCCAGGACCTGCTTGGGGGCTGTCTGTCTGTGCGAAGCCCGAAGCCTATGAGGAAAAGCATGGAGGCCTCGCGCGGCGCGCAATAGTTTCATGGTCCAGTCCACACGTCCTCCCCGTCAGATCTGGGACGACGTTCGCGCGGCGACGCCCCGACGGAAATCCGACGCAAGTCCGACGTGGATCCGACGTAAAATAGGTATCAGGTTGCCGCGCGAGGCGTCCAATCGGAGGAGCAAGAGGTCATGGCACCAACATCGCAGAGCGGATTCCGGTCGGAAAGCAGTATGACGAGACTGGAGTGTCCTGGAGAATTTCGTTCCCGATTTCGCATTGAATTTCGTGCAAAGATCCGCGCGAAATTCACTTCGTTTTTCACTCGCCGTTGCGGGGGTTTGCATTGACAGAAATCCACACAATAATCCGCTGCAGCACGTGTGCCAGATCGGTGCAGTGAAAGAGGTCATGATGCCGATACGTTCCAGGATTTCCAGGATTTATATGATTCCCAGGCTGTGCTGATGCTTCGCGCGGGCTGCAGGAACGAGGGCGCTGAATGCTCCTTGGAAACCCTGGACCGTCAACTGAGCCAACCGCCTCATGACACCATCCTAATCCTACCCTTAAATCGGGCCTGTCCCTCTACAGGATCAATCTTCAAAAATAGGAAAAATAGTATGGGGACGATTTTTCGGCCAAATATTTTTTTGTGTTTAAGTTTTTTCATTTTCCTTCAAAATCTGCCTGTAGGGGGACTTGCCCAACCTAATCCTACCCATGAAGGCGAGAAAGCACACAGACACACAGAATCTTGGATTCACAGGAAAATGTGTGGAAGTATGCACAGTGTTGGGGAAGACGAGACTCCAGAACATGTGGGAAGATGCGTGGAGTAAGGGATCTGTGTCTGTTGATTAGTGTGCCCCTGGGCCCCTTGAATGACATCATCCTCGTCCTGCCCAGGATTGTGCCTCGTCAAGAAGCCTGGCCGCGGCCAGCGCATTCCGACGCCCCCGCGGGCGCGGAGGGCCGGCACGACGACGCTGGAAGCAGCACCGGGGGGGAGTGGCCCGTGTGGGCCATGGCCCGGGCAGCAGCGCACACCTCAGGGGCAACGATAGGGGGGGATAGGCATAGGGGGGATGCATCGACCCCCAATCGCCCACTGATCGCCGATAAGGGGTCCGATAGCCACAACCTGCCCAGGAACGTGCGGATTCACTTTCGGGGGCCTGTCGCCGATCTATCGGCGATATATCGCCGATGCCATGTCGATGCGTCCCCTCCTATGCCAGTCCCCCCTTATCGTTGCCCCTCAACACCTGCGCGGCCAGGCGGCAGCGCACCCAGAGACCCGACGCTCCAAAAAGTTTTGATCGGGCAGTTTTTTGCGGTTTATCGGCCTTCAGACCGTCAAAGAGCGAGTCGGCGGACTCGGCGTGCTCTGCTCCGCTGCGCACGGGACACGGGGTATCCTGGAGCCTCTGGGTGATTGTTGGGCCGTCCCCAGAGATCCGACGCTTGAGCAAAAAAATGTGCGGGCGGTTTTGGGTGGTTTTTGGCCTCCAGAGGCCCTCGCTGGGCCTCGGGACCTTCAAAAAACGATTCAGCCCTGATGATTCGCAAATATCGCGGCCCCGAGGGCGTAACCAAGCTCAGCGCCACTGCAGCTGAATGCCTTCCAAGCAAGATCAAAACGAGTCGGGACGAAAATCGGAGCCCGGGGAAGTGGTCCAGACTTCCAGGGCCCATGCATCGAAAACACTGGAGCGGGCGGATGTCTGGGGACTCAGATCGGCGGCGAGCCCGGGGGGGATCGACGACGCGTAGGAGTGACCCTTCGCCGGAGTGATTTTTTTGGTGCGGGCCCACTGGGGCCCCCGCGGGGGCTGAGCGCGATGCGACAGCAGCGGCTTCTTCGCTCGGGTTTGACCCCCCCGCGCCCCCCCCGAAAGTCGAGCACCAACGGTCACTCTTGCCGAGGGTTAAGTCGGGCATGTCCCTCTACAGGAGGAATGTTCAAAAATAGTAAGTAAATAGCCAGGGGATAATTTGTCGACTAATTTATTTCATGTGTGACCATTTTTGATTTTTTCTTCGAACCTCCGCCTGCAGGAGGACATGCCCGACCTAAGCCTGGGGTCACTCTTGCGCGCAGTCGAGGGGAGGCGAGGAGGGGCGGGCCGCCTCAGGGGGCCCGGAAGGCCCCGGCCCTCTGAGACGTGCTCGAAGCCTTCCCCGAAGACGCAGGACGACCTCCCAGAAGGCGCGAGGGCTTCTGAGAAGCCCCGCCGCCTTCAGAGAGGGTCCGCCCTCTGAGAAGCTTGCGAAGCCTTCCCCGAAGACGCTGGAAAGCCCCTCCGAAGGCGCGAAAGCTTCTGAGAAGCCCCGCCGGCTTCTGGGAGGGCCTTCTCCTTTACATTCCCCCCCAGGCGCGCCGCCGAATTTGGTTTTTGGGTTATCACTCGGGTTCCGGCGGTCGTTCGGGGCGATCCCGGCACCCCTGGAGCGTTCTCGGCGAGGCGCAGCCGCTGGAACGCATCCCGAGGCTGGAAAACCGCCGAGAGCCGACGAAAACGTCCGAAAACCTCGAACCTCGAACCCGAAACTTCCACCCTCGCTCGCTTCCCCCCCTCGCTCGCCGCCGAAGTGTCTCCCCCACGAACCACAGTCCCGCCGCCTTCTGAGAAGGCTTTCTCTTTCTGATTCCCCCCTCGTTCGCCGCCGAGTCATGGATCGTCGAACATCCTCACGAATCGGCGACGGCCAGCATGGGCCACGAGCAAGGTCGGCGTCGACGAGATCCCGCGACGTCTTCTGATCGTGGCCATCATGCTTCTTCCCGCCAGCCGGAGGCAGGCTGCCGAGGCAGACCCCGAGCCACGAGCCTCAAGGTTTGCCAGAGGCCTCCCTCGCTCGCCGCCGAAGTCCCCCCCCCCCTCGTATAATCAGGGGAGCGAACAATGACATAGACGTAAAAACTCGGAGGTCCGCTCGGATTTCTCGGATCGGCGCTGGAGACCCGCTGCGCCTCCAGTGCGGGGGGTCCAGTCCAACGCCGATTCGAGAAATCCGCGCGGACCTCCGAGTTTTTTATGCTTATGTCATTGCTTGTTTCTCGAACGAGCCAACACGCCCCGATTCACCGAGCGCGTTCCACTACTCGCGAAGTGCCTACTCGCAAGCGTGCCAGAAAACACATGTCTGCATCGATGTCAGGTATCGTAGATCCCTGGTGGCTCCGGGTCTGCCAGCAGCTACTCCTGCGAGTCGTGGAACGCGCCTGTCTATCGAGGCCTCCCTTCGCTCGCCGCCGAAGTCCCCCCCCCCACGAACCAGCACGCCCCGGTGACGCGCCGCGGGCGCGGGCCGGCGGATACTACCTGACCGACCCCTCCGAGGAGTGGGCGCCCTCGGAGGGCGGGGCCCTGGAGCTCTACGCGCCCCAGCCGGGCGCGCCCCCGGGGACGCCCGCCACGGCCCCGGCCAAGGATCGGGGAGACCCCCCTGGGGCCCAGGCGCCCAGACGACGAGGCAGTGGCGAAGGGTCCTGCCCTGCTGATCGACCACGCTGCACGCAAGAGTGACCTTTCGCCGGAGTGACCTCTGGTGCGGGCCCAACGGGGTCCCCCGATCGCCGAACGCGATGCGGCAGTAGCTTCCTGCGCGATGGTGTCTGGTCCCCCCCTTGGGCCCCCCGAAGGCCGCGCACCAAAGGTCACTCTCACATCGGGTCATTCTTGCGTGTGCGTGCAGTCGACGATATCGGCCACGCGCAGACGGGGTGAGAGGGAGGTGGGAAGGCTCCTTAGGAGGAGGCTGCTTCTTAGAAGGCGCCGGCTTTCTCTATGGGTGTACGGCCAGCGTCTTCTAAGAAGCAGCCTCCTTCTAAGATGTCTTCCCCCCTCCCCATATCCCCTTGTGCGCGCCGCCAAGTGTAGGCCCACCAAATAATGTTCTGAGAACATTGTAGTGGTTTCCACACAATGTTCCCTGCGCATTCCTGGCTGAGACCGTCTTGTCCTCATACGTCGGCCTTATGTTCTAAGAACGTAGATGTTTAATTTCCGTTTCTAATTTCTAAAGACAACTATTTTTTATCCCTTCCAGTGACCGTTGTGTTTTTCAATGAAAATGTTCCTCCAGGGTTCGCACCTATTTGGGAAGTCTTGGCTCTCAGATTGTCTTGGGGCTCAGGTGGCCCCCGGTTTACAAAAACAGCGGCCACCGCCTGATATTTACGCACAATTGATTTCAAAATCGGTTCTCGCGCGGACTTTATCATAATTCACGCAGAAGTCGCGCTTTCGCGTGGGATTTCCTCGCAATTCTTTCAGACGCCGCGCCCTCGAAACTCAGGATTCATGTTTTCGCTCTTGCCTTCTCACGATTTACTTGGGAATCGCGCTACCACTCGAGGCCTCCTCGCGATTCATGCAGGACTCACGCTTCAGCAACCCGCCTGCTCGACCTGGCTGCCTGGGCCCGCCTTTCCGACCCGCCCGTCAGGGTCTACCAGCCCGATTTGCCCGTCTGGTTTTGCCACGTGTTTTCAGCTCCTCGCCCACTTCCTGCTAATCTCTCTCATGCTCCATCCTCCTCCCCCCCCTTCCATCCGCCCTCTCGTCCCCTGCTTTAGGGGCTGCACTACAGACACGTGGCAGGTAAGGAAGGTATGCCCCGAAGGGGGTACGGTCAAGGACGAAGAGGCGAGTATCGAGAGCTTGGGATATACGTGCTGTATGGCACGCGAGCAGGCAAGAGCGAACAGTTTTTTAATGATTCAGTTCTCATTCCTGCCCCATTTTTTCCCAGGGAGAGTCTTGCGGCTCAGATGGGGCCCCTGGCCCCCGAACTTCAACAACAACAACGGCTCCCATTTAATATTTCTTCGCAATTGATTTCAGAATCGGGCTCTCGCACATGACCTCCCTACAGTGTATGCAGAAATCGCGCTCTCGCGTGGGACTTCCTCGCAATTTATTCAGACGCAACGCTCTCGACGCCCAGGAATCGTGCTCCCGCTTTGGCCGTTTTCACGATTTACTCGGGGATCGCGCTGTCGCTCGAGAACTCCTCGCGATTCATGCAGGACTCACGCTTCAGCAACTCGCCTGATCGACCTTGCTGCCTGGGCCCACCTTTGGACCCGCCCGTTAGGGTCTACCCGCCCCATCTGCCCGTCGGGTTCTGCCACGTTTTCCTGTTCCTTGCCCCCGTCCTGCTAATCTCTCTCCTACTCCATCCTTCTTCCTCCTTCCATCCCCTCTTCCCTTTTTGTAGGGGCTGCACCACTTTCACGTGGCAGGTAAGGACGGTATACCTCTCAATTGATACGATTGAAGACGAAGAGTGCGGGTATCGAGGGCTTGTCATACACGTGTTGAATGGCACGCGGGCAGGTACAAGCGATCAGCTTAAAATGCTTGTTATTGCTGCTGTTGTTGTTCTTGTTGCTGTTACTGTTGCTGTTGCTGCTGTTGCTGCTGTTGCTGCTGTTGCTGCTGTTGCTGTTGCTGTTGTTGCTGATGTTGCTGTTGCTGTTGCTGTTACTGTTGCTGTTGCTGTTGCTGTTGCTGTTACTGTTGCCGTTGTTGTTGTTGTTGTTGTTGTTGTTGTTGAAGCCTCATTCTTGAAGAATAATTATTATTAACCCCCCATCACCGGTGCATATTCTGTCTTTTCAATTGCAGTGCCCCCTCGGGGCTCGCACTTAGGTTTTTATCAGGGATTGTCTTCGTGCTCAAACTGCGTTGTTGGGCCCCGAACTACAACAACAACGGCTCCCGCCTGCCACTGCATCACAATTCATTCCAACATCGAGCTCTCGCGTGGGCTTTCCTTGCAATTTATGCAGCAATCGCGCTCTCGCGTGGGACTTCTTCGCAATTTATTCAGACACCGCGCCCTCGACACTCAGGCATCACGCTCTCGCTTTAGCCGTTCTCACGATTTACTTTGGAGTCGCGCTATCGCTGAAGTTTTCCTTGCGATTCATGCTTCGGCAACCCGCCTTCTCGACCTGTCCGCCTTGCCCCGCCTTCCCGACCAGCCCGCGAGGGCCTGCCCGCCCGATCTGCCCGTCTGGTTCTGCCACGTGTTTCTGCTCCTAGCCCCCGTCCTGCTTATTTCTCTCGTGCTCCATCCTTCTCCCTTCCCCTTCCATCCGTCCTCTTGTCACCGCTTTCAGGGTCTGCGCTAAATGCACTTGGCAGCTAAAACCCCCAAGTGGGTACAGTGAAAACCCATGCCAAGAAACACCCTGCTTGCCTTCAGGGTACCCTGGATTTCTTGGGTTTCGATGGTTTTGCCCTGGGAAGCGTGACGTTCCCACAACAAAAATCAATGGACGTCCTGGGGTCTCAGGGTTGGGTTTCTGGTGGAAGGTTTCTTGTGGTCGAGGTCCTACTGTACAATCGAAGAGGAAGAGTGCGGGTACCGAAGGTTGGGGATATACGTGTTGAGTGGCACGCGAGCAGGTAGGAGCGAACAGTCTTAAACATATTTTTCCCTACAATAATTGTCGTTAATGCCCCCCCCCCTGCGGTAACCGTTGTATTTTTCAATTAAAGTATTTCTCCCATGGCTCGCCCCTTGTTTTTCACAAGGGCAAGCGAGGTGCCACCAAGCTGTGTTGTTGGCTCCCGGTTTACAACAGCAGCAGCTCCCGCCTGATGTTTCCTCACACTCTATTCCCAAATCGCGCTCTCGCGCGTGACTTCCTCACAATGTATGCAGAAATCGCGCTCTTGCGTGGAATTTGCCTGCAATTTATTCAGACGCCGCGCCCTCGACACTCAGGAATCACGCTCTCGCTGTGGATATCATCACGATTTATTTGGGAATCGCGCTATCGCTGGAGATTATCCTACGATTCATGCAGGGCGCACGCTTCAGCAACCCGCCTGCTCGACCTGGCCGCCTGGGCCCGCCTTCCGGGCCCGAACGTTAGGGTCTACCTGCCCGATTTGCCCGTCTTGTTCTGCCACGCGTTTTTTGTTCGTAGTCCCCCTTATGCTACTCTCTCGTGCTCCATCCTCTTCCATCCCCCTTGTCCCTTCCTTGTATCCGTCCTTTCTTCCCCCGCCTTAGGGCTGCACGAGATGCGCTCTCGATCTATTTGGGACTTGCGCTGTCGCTCGAGACTCCCTCGCGAGTCATGCAGGACGCATGCTTCGGCAGCCCGCCGGCCCCTCGTCCTTTCCTTCCATCCGTCGTCTCTTCCCCTGCCTCAGGCGCTGCACGAAGTACAAGTTGTCAGTAAGAAAGATATCCCCCCAAGGGGGTAAGATCGAAGACGAAGAGGGCGGGTATCGAGGGTTCGGGATATACGTATTGCATGGCACGCGAGCAGATACGAGCGAACCGTCTTATGATGATTGTCTTTGTTGTCGAATTCTCATTTTAATGAAGAATTATGGTTGATCCCCCATTCGGAAACCACGTTATTTTTCAAGTAAAGTGCTCCTTCTGGGGCTCGCACCCTGTTTTTTAGAAGGGACAGTGTGGGGTCACCAAACTGCGATGTTGAGCCCCGAATTGCAACAACATCGGTTCCCGCCTGATAGTTCCATACAGTTGATTTCCAAATCGCGCTCTCGGGCGGGTCTTCTTCACAATTTACACAGGAATCACGTTCTCGCGTGGAACTTTCTCGCAATTGATTCAGACGCCGCGCCTTTGACGCTCAGGAAGCTCGCTCTCGCTCCGGTTTTCCTCGCGATTCACTTGGGGATCGCGCTATCGCTCGAGACTTCTCAGCGATTCATACAGAATTCACGCTTCAGCAACCCGCCTGCTCATCCTGGCCGCCTGGGCCTGCCTTCCCGACCCGCCCGATCTGCCCGTCGTGTTTCTGTTCCTCGTCCCCCTCCTGCTCCTCGCTCTTGTGCTCTATCCTCCTCCCTCTCCCTTGCCCCTTCCTTCCATTTGTCCTCTCCTCCCTTGCCTTAAGAGCTGCACGAAATACACATTGCGGGTAAGAGAGATATACACCTAAGGTGATACGATCGAAGATGAAGCGGGCGGGTATCGAGGGTTTGGGATACACGTGTTGAATGGCACGCGATCAAGCAAGAGCGAACAGTCTTAACATTCTGATTGTTGTTATTGTTGCCGCCGCTGTTGCTGTTGCTGTTGCTGTTGTCGTTGTCATTGCTGTTGTTTTGGTGTTGTTGTTGTTGTTGTTGTTGTTGCTGTTGCTGTTGCTGTTGCTGTTGCTGTTGTTGGTATGGTTGTTGTTATT